ATCAACATAATTTCTTACCAGAACATCTTTGAATAAGAAAGGACTTTTCAGATATTACTGAGCAATTTAGAAGAAGATTGTGCTAAGCTGCCTATTGGAACCTGCTTAACTATGCAAAATGTGAGCAATTAGAAATTGAACTTATTTAATTGTCCATTGCCTTTTAAAACTAAGGACACAGCTGCAATGCATGAAGACTTAAAAAATAAAATATTTCTTTCAGAAAATTAGAGCATTTCACAAACTCCCCCCCCCCCAGACACACTTTCTCCTTACAAGATAAAAAAGATTCACCTCTTACTCTGTGATACATTTATAACAGAGATACATACAGTTATAATAGACAGTCAATGCCACTCTAAATAGTAGAGCTACCAAACCTCTAGCTGGGCTGAAAAACTAAAATATTAGTATTTATATTAAACAATATAATATGTTTGTGTCCCAGTGTTTTGTTCACAGCAAAGGGCTTAATGTTGAAAAGGACGAAGGCCAGTAATAGCAGTGAGCATTGCTGATTAAAACTAAGGGAGGAAAACAGACAAAACGACCTCTTTTCAGGAGGACAGTCTTTTGCAGAGACAGATGAGACAGATTTGCCACGTGTTGGGCTATATAGAATCGGTACTTGAAAGTACCATGAGACAGAGGCTCAAGCATGGGACCCCACTGTATATGCTACACTAGGGAATTAGAGTGTTCTTGTGTATTGATAACAGTGAAATGATAACTACCTAACACAGCGGAGGTAATTTAAGACACTGTCATCTAGGTGCCTTAACACTGATTTATTTGTTTTCAAGTCTAATTAAGACATGAAAACAAATTGACTCTAATAAACAGCCTTCTGTTGCCATAGGATCACCATGTATGGGCTGTTTAGAGAATTTAAATGTACTTTTCATGGCCTATTTTGGAGATTTCATGGTGTACCAACAATATCGCAAAATGTAGGAGCTACTGCATGTAAATGATGATAAAATCCAACCAAAACTGGGAAGGGACAAAATTTAAAAATATAAAGCAAAACCCTTGCCTGTTAAAATCTTACTACTTAAGAAGCAAAACAAGAAAGATGGAGCACAGAATCCCTGGAGTGTACAGTAAGTGCCTTTTTCAATTTGCTTTGTGCTATTTTGCATAAACACAAATTAAATTAAACACAAACAAGAAATTATATTCAGGAAAAACGACGCATGGCTACCTCATGAATGGACACCCAGTCATCACGTTTTTATCCCAGGATTTTGGCAATCCAGCTTCCTTGCTTTTGTCATGTCTCAATAAAGATTTGTGCCGATCAAAATCCCGATTATTTCCAGTGGCCAGGGAATTGTGAGGCAAGGAGCGAGCAAAAACTTGCAAAAGCTAAATCTCTTTAATCTGTTGTTCTTACCAAGCTTTATGCTGCACGTATTTCTCTGCATCAGCCCTTTCATGTTCCTGAAAACGCTTCTACTTCTTAAGTAGAAATCAGCTGCCAGACATCCTGAATCCTCTTAATGGATGCATTCATTTTAGTCTATCTGTTTCTTCCACAAATAACTTGGATTCTCTGCACTGATCCAAAGCTGCTCCTTAAGATGAGTT